GTTGCTTCTGTGTAATGTTTGCGGGTTGGTTGGTTGCTTCTGTGTAATGTTTGCGGGTTTGTTTGTTGTTTCTGTGTAATGTTTGCGGGTAAGTTTGTTGCTTCTGTGTAATGTTTGCGGGTTGGTTGGTTGCTTCTGTGTAATGTTTGCGGGTTTGTTTGTTGTTTCTGTGTAATGTTTGCGGGTTTGTTTGTTGTTTCTGTAATGTTTGCGGGTTAGTTTGTTGCTTCTGTGTAATGTTTGCGGGTTGGTTGGTTGCTTCTGTGTAATGTTTGCGGGTTTGTTTGTTGTTTCTGTGTAATGTTTGCGGGTTTGTTTGTTGTTTCTGTAATGTTTGCGGGTTGGCTTGTTGTTTCTATGTAATGTTGGGCGGGTTGGTTTGTTACTTCTGTGTAATGTTTGGCGGGTTGGTTTGTTGCTCCTGTGTAATGTTTGGCGGGTTGGTTTGTTGCTTCTGTGTAATGTTTGCGGGTTGGTTGGTTGCTTCTGTGTAATGTTTGCGGGTTTGTTTGTTGTTTCTGTAATGTTTGCGGGTTGGCTTGTTGTTTCTATGTAATGTTTGCGGGTTGGTTTGTTGCTTCTGTGTAATGTTTGCGGGTTGGTTGGTTGCTTCTGTGTAATGTTTGCGGGTTTGTTTGTTGTTTCTGTAATGTTTGCGGGTTGGCTTGTTGTTTCTATGTAATGTTTGCGGGTTGGTTTGTTGCTTCTGTGTAATGTTTGCGGGTTGGTTTGTTGTTTCTGTGTAATGTTTGCGGGTTGGTTTGTTGTTTCTGTGTAATGATGGCGGGTTGGTTTGTTGTTTCTGTGTAATGTTTGCGGGTTGGTTTGTTGTTTCTGTGTAATGATGGCGGGTTGGTTTGTTGTTTCTGTGTAATGATGGCGGGTTTGTTTGTTGTTTCTGTGTAATGATGGCGGGTTTGTTTGTTGTTTCTGTGTAATGATGGCGGGTTGGTTTGTTGTTTCTGTGTAATGATGGCGGGTTTGTTTGTTGTTTCTGTGTAATGTTTGTGGGTTGGTTTGTTGCTTCTATGTAATGTTTGCGGGTTGGTTTGTTGTTTCTGTGTAATGATGGCGGGTTGGTTTGTTGTTTCTGTGTAATGTTTGCGGGTTGGTTTGTTGTTTCTGTGTAATGATGGCGGGTTGGTTTGTTGTTTCTGTGTAATGTTTGCGGGTTGGTTTGTTGCTTCTGTGTAATGTTTGGCGGGTTGGTTTGTTGCTTCTATGTAATGTTTGCGGGTTGGTTTATTGCTTCTGTGTAATGTTTGGCGGGTTGGTTTGTTGCTTCTGTGTAATGTTTGTGGGTTGGTTTATTGCTTCTGTGTAATGTTTGCGGGTTGGTTTGTTGCTAGTCTGTAATGTTTGGCGGGTTGGTTTGTTGCTTCTGTGTAATGTTTGCGGGTTGGTTTGTTTTTCGTGTAATGTTTGCGGGTTGGTTAGTTGTTTATTGCAATGTTTGCGGGTTGGTTTGCTGTTTATTGCAATGTTTGCGGGTTGGTTTGTTGTTTATTGTAATGTTTGCGGGTTGGTTTGTTGTTTATTGTAATGTTTGCGGGTTGGTTTGTTGTTTATTGTAATGTTTGCGGGTTGGTTTCTTGCTCCTGTGTAATGTTCGGCGGCTCGGATTTGTTTAGTTTCTACACTATAGTGTTGGTAGTGTTAGTAGTGTTGGTAGTGTTGGTAGTGTTGGTAGTGTGGGTAGTGTTGGTGCGAGACTGTTCGTTCACAATCTGATGGTCAATAGCGGTTCTTACTAAACATATAACGTGGATGTTCCTCAACTTCTACAGCTGGTCTCATTGCTAGCTCTAAAAGTTCAAAATTTGGTGCCTATGCAAATGAGGGCCTGCTGGAGACAGCAACCTGTCTAGGAAAGACAACTGCCAATCAAACAACTTCTGACTTGTAGTTTGTTCTTGGGAGAACATAAGCTGTGGAAGCATAACGCCATTATTGCAACAAAGAACGGTGAAACGAAAACCGCAATGCTAGTCTTACTAATCATCTAAGGCACCTTATCCTCAACGTGTGAATGTATAGTGTCTTCCTCGTTGTGTTTGGTACAGTTATTTTTTCTGAAACTAAGTAAAGAAACGTTGTCTAAATCTTCTATTATCATCATTATATTTATTGAATATCTTGAATATCTTGAATGTCTTGATTGTCTTAAATCAAGCTTCTGCTTGGCTACTTGGGTATTATCTCGCTGTTCACAACGTTATCTAAGGGGCTGCTGATTTTATTTTTAGATCCCTCAAATCCACATTAAAAGATACAATTTAGAATTTCGAAATATCAGTCATATGCAAGGTCATTCATCGTTTTTAAATTGTTTATATAAAAAATTGCCGGTTCATATTTTGCATTAAACATTTCTTTGAAGAAAGGTAATTTGCATTTTATAAAATAGTTTTGCTATTCAAATAAAAAAAAATATCCATAGAAGATGAAACTTCCATTTAAATAGAGTCACTCTGAAAATGTGGGCTTAAAACGAAAGGTCCGTTTAACGAAGTATTCCACAAGTTTCCTCTTGTAAAGGGTTAATCGTGATGAAGTGGCCATTTTAGACTGCTGCGACTGTGGTGGCTTGAAGCTTCGGTCTACCCCGCTGTTGACGCGGGGTAAATACTCCAGAGGGATGATATTCAGCACAAGTTGTGGCCCCTTCGCATCGGCCTTTTGATCTCTCTTCATGTTGACTAATTATATTTTACTTTATTAATGATTTTTAATTGCTTGCTGGGTACGTCAGGTTTTGGTACTATTCGTTTAGCCGTACCTTCTTACTCACATTTTTAGAATAAATCTGGGCAGTGTATTCTAGTGTGAGCTATACTCTCTAATTCACATTTATATAATTCACCCGAACACTGTACTCTTGTGTGAGCTATACTCCCTAATTCACATTTATATAATTCACCCGAACACTGTACTCTTGTGTGAGCTATACTCCCTAATTCACATTTATATAATTCACCCGAACACTGTACTCTTGTGTGAGCTATACTCCCTAATTCACATTTATATAATTCACCCGAACACTGTACTCTTGTGTGAGCTATACTCCCTAATTCACATTTATATAATTCACCCGAACACTGTACTCTTGTGTGAGCTATACTCCATAATTCACATTTATATAATTCACCCGAACACTGTACTCTTGTGTGAGCTATACTCCCTAATTCACATTTATATAATTCACCCGAACACTGTACTCTTGTGTGAGCTATACTCCCTAATTCACATTTATAAAATTCACCCGAACACTGTACTCTTGTGTGAGCTATACTCCCTAATTCACATTTATATAATTCACCCGAACACTGTACTCTTTGTGTGTGATTTCATGAAGCATAATGTTGGAAAGGCTCGACTGCTAAACCCTAGAATGGATCCCGGTACACAGGGTGATAAGGTGGTGAGCATTATGTCCAGCCGCATTTGCTTGCCTGACGTGAGCCAGGTACCTATTAGAGCTGGGTTGACTCAATTACGTTCTCCATACTCCAGCCCCGGATCCGAACCCAAACATTTCGTGTTTGTAGTCGTAAGCTCTACCATCCGACCACACCCTCACAAACATGACACAGATCAGGGGTATATAACTCACAGAGACAAACCAGAGTAGGCATCATGAAATATTTTTTATTTTTAAAACCAACAATAGGTTATAAATATAAACAAATCAAGATGACGTCATGTAGCCGATAACCAAGCACAAAAATAAAATTAAACAAAAAAGAAGTTCGTATTTCAAAGGATATTACGTATTCAATGTTTCAATCACATGTTATAAGTATTAATTAAAGTGTAAACACTAATAAATTCTATACAATATATATTTACATTACACGTTATATAATTTTATAAGGAAAAATGGCATAAAAAATTATAATTTACTTAGAAAGTTAATACTGGAATAAATTCTATTTTCAAAGCTTGTTTATGTTTTTGGTCAGAAAGGAAAGGCGCTATTTATATACAAGTAAAACATATTATTATCATCATGATTTTTTAAAATTATGATTAAACGTATTCAAGTTTGATGCAATCATACAATATAATGTATTACAAAATAATTCGACATATATATATATATATATATATATATATATATATATGTGTGTGTGTGTATATATATATATATATATATATAACTCTAATATTCATTATTTTGTTGTGTTTTTTTTCATTTAAAAGGACAAAACTAATCAAACTATCATCAACTACAGCCTTGTTAAGTTGTATACTACTACTATAAAATTAACTTCTCTGTCAATGAATTAATATTCACACGGTAATTAGACATTTTCATTAAAATTGTTATGTATAGTATTTACATAATGTATAGTCGACCTTATAATTCCCGCAGCTAGAATATTACACCTCCTTCGCCAGTTAATGAAGGTTTGGTGCTTAGGTTAAAGGATAAATGAAAACAGTATTTATTTTTTGCTTTAATGCGTTTAAAAACTACGTTCATATCACTCTTGTAGAGGCATGAAATGATTGGCTGCTATTTATAGTTTTGATGTCAAACTTATTTATGTTAGGATATAATTTTTTATATAAACACGCGTTTTCAGCAGTTGTACGTTAAGTGTTGTGTTTTAAATTTGACTGTCAAGTTGCTTACTTGTGACATGCTTTATGAATGTGTAGTCTGTGTTTAAATATCTATTGAAAACAGAAATGTTAAAGTCACTGGGCTTTAAGGGACTTAAAATTATAGACAAATTGTGTATCAAAGTTTCAGCGATATACGTGAGACACTTATTTCTTACTTCAACCATGGCTAATTTTAAAACATGCCATAATCATCCTTTCTAGCAATTTTTAGATGTTTTTTGAAAAGCTGATATATAAATTATACAACATTCTATTAAATATTTTGTTTATATATATATATATATATATATATATATATATATATATATATATATATATATATATATATATATATATATATATATATATATATAAACATGATAGTAAAATGAGTTAATGTGGAGGGGGAGGTAGGGGAGGCACCGGCTGCTGCATGTTGTGCAGGAGCATGCGTGGCAGCACCGGTCTGGTGATTGGAAGTGACGTCACACCGTGCCTGTAGTAGAGCGAGTCCATGCTGGAGAGAAGGGCGGCGGCGTGGGGGTGGTAGGACGCCCAGTACGGGTTGGTCTGGAGCATGCGCTGTACGGCTGCGTAGTTCCCGGCTTCCGCCAGCAGCTCCAGGCCCACGGCTGTCTGACGCTTCCATTTGGTTCTGGGGAGGAGAGGAAACAAGGAGTAAAATATAGAGCTAAGGAGGCATATTTCTTATATCAGACATATTCAGAGTTTCTTCCAGGCATCTCTTCGCCCCCCCCCCCGGAAAAATTGTTAACGCCCCCCCCCCCCCCCCCGAACGAAATGAAATTTATATAATTTATATAGAAAATATATACTTTTAACAGTGTCCGCCACCCCCCCCCCCCGAAAATTTCAAGTGCCCCCCCGGAGAAAAAAGTCTGGAAGAAACACTGGACATATTGTTATTGGGGGGGGGGGGGGGGAGGAGGAGGGCAATAAAATTCTAGTCCGGGATACTTCAAACTTCGCGGGATGTGGGACGGCCAATGTTTAAAGGATATATTTTCTATTTACATTTTATTAAATGTTCCATTTTGTTCGAGAAAATGTGTGTGTTGGGGGGGGGGGGGGGGGAGGAGGAGGTTGGCGGTGGATGAACCCCTCACACTAGAGAGATGGCTGAAAGAAACATCGAAGTTGAGTAAGATGAGCTGGCTATGGTTGGGGGGGGGGGAGTAAGTATTTTTAATTGATGTGTATTACATACATACATATATAGAGCTTGTCGTGTATATACATATACAAAAATAAGAAGCTTTAGCCTATGAACCGACACAAATAAAGATTAGACAAAGGTCACCAACGATGCAGTTGTAAGCGTTAGAAAGGTTCTAGGTGAACATTACATATAGGATATCTTAAATGTCCCGTACAACGAAATCTACAAAAAGAATGTAACCTACACTTGAACGTTAAGGTAATTTATTACTTGAGCCGTCACCAGAGTTTTGGCTTAAATATAAGATCAGTGACCCGGAGATTAACACAGAGATTTGAATACAAATGTGATACATTGTAAAACTAATGTGATACATTGTAAAACTAATGTGATACATTGTAAAACAAATGTGATACGTTGTAAAAATATGACTAGAAATTCCGTATAGTCATAAAAGAAAAAAGAGCGTAAATGGATTTAAATTTTTCCCATTTCAGTGATTTATCCTAAGCAAATGTCATCTAGCGTGGTTGAGGGGATGGGTATATCGTGGTTGAGGAGATGGGTGTATCGTGGTTGAGGGGATGGGTGTATCGTGGCAGACGACGCTGGAATGTCGTGGGGCAGAAGACAGCGCCAACCTGAAGGCGCTAATGCGATGCGCTAACTGCGAACAAAATACCCAGGCCTAAACGTGAGGCGGGGCAGGTGAAGCAGTGTTGTGGGTAACAAATCTCCCCCGGGGTGGGGTAACTCTAGGCCTGTGGGTAAACTCGAGTTCGCTCTCGCATGTCACGAGACAGAGAAATTATACGCTATCGCCTTCCCGGGAGCCGCGAGAGTGGGAGGGAATTTGGGGAATAATAAACGAAGAAATGGTTTAGTGGGCGTAAGGTGAGATCAGATAAATGTGTTGGGTTTTGGTGTTTGGTTTTCTTGGACGTTCGTACATGAGGGTTGTGGGAGGGGGGGGGGAGTCTAAGGATGTACGGTAGTTAAGGTAAAGTGAAGTCTTTAATAAAAGGTGAGGTGAACTCACGGTATAGGTGAGGTGTAGTTGTGAGGTGAAGTCATAAAGTTGTGAGGTGAAGTCATAAAGTTGTGAGGTGAAGTCATAAAGTTGTGAGGTGAAGTCAGGAAGTTGTTAGGTGAAGTAATAAAGTTGTGAGGTGAAGTCATAAAGTTGTGAGGTGAAGTCATAAAATTGTGAAGTGAAGTAATTAAGTTGTGAGGTGAAGTCATAAAGTTGTGAGGTGAAGTCATAAAGTTGTGAGGTGAAGTCAGGAAGTTGTTAGGTGAAGTAATAAAGTTGTGAGGTGAAGTCATAAATTTGTGAGGTGAAGTCATAAAATTGTGAAGTGAAGTAATTAAGTTGTGAGGTGAAGTTGTGAGGTGAAGTCATAAAGTTGTGAGGTGAAGTAATAAAGTTGTGAGGTGAAGTCATAACGTTGTGAGGTGAAGTCATAAAGTTGTGAGGTGAAGTCAAAAAGTTGTTAAGTCAAGTCAGGAAGTTGTGAGGTGAAGTCATAAAGTTCTGAAGTGAAGTCATAAAGTTGTGAGGTGAAGTCATAAAGTTGTGAAGTGAAGTCATAAAGTTGTGAGGTGAAGTCATAAAGTTGTGAGGTACACTGGAAACCAAACGATATTTGTCAAAAACATTTTCATTGTACCAGAAATAATTGACATGTTTTTGATAGATGTGGTAAGCATGCAATTGAAAATTAACTTAGATTAAATTTAAACTGAGCAACAGAATTATGTAACGAATCTGTTAACAAATATGCTTTTATATATAGCAGTGATTCGAGTATGTTTATCAGTAGTAGCACGGATTCTTATAAATGTTTTTATCTATTGAAATAAGTCCTGTAAGTGTGTTACAATTTAGTATACAGAAATAAATAAGACGTATTTATAAAAATTTCGATTTTATTAGCATTTAGATTTCGAGCCAGTATTAGTATTTTATTCAAGTGCCGTAAAACCATTCTATTTTTAAAATCAAGCGTAGTATTTGTTTCTTCCTCATAGAAATCCTTGAAAAGAATTCACCGTCAATACCTTCCATATCATTACGCTGTAAATAATGAAGTCGAAATGTGTCGCGTAAGAAGACTGCAGGGTTTAATCTATGTCGAACCCTGTGCATGTCTATGGGGTTCGTAGGGGCGCTTTTGTTGAAAGCCAACCATGCGGGGTTAATCGCGACAGTGGGGGGAATACATTTGGTGGAGTGAGAAAGTACGGTACACCGTGTGTGTCAGAATTTAGAAATGTGATACCTTGAAAAGAGTGGGCTGAATTTACGGAGTGGGATAATAAAAGGCACGCAACTCGCGGGTCATGGGAGAAGTTTTTTACAATCAGAAAAGCGAAAGATTTTTCAAATTTTGGATTAAAGCGTGGATTTAATGAAACTAAACATAATATTATAAAAGTTACCGGTGAAGAAAGGTATTTAAATTGTAGGCTCAAACTGAGTCGAATCGTAAACATAATTACCCTTATGGGAAATAATTTATAGAAAATAGCTATTAAAAACAAACATAGTAAATTAGTGACAAGTATAAGATATATGAACGATATATAACCCACACTTAACAAAAGAAAATAATAAAAACACATTTCGTGATAAGAAAATATTCAAATAGATGTGCTACCAACTGGAAAAGCTTTTCATTGACCTAATTAGTCTACGATGAACGCAATCAATTCCACTAATTAAACTAATGACCGAATCTGTTTTTGTGTGCTATCGTGGGCTAGAAATGTCCATTTTGTTGAAGAAATAAATCAAACTAATCTCTTTGTCTTCGTTACGATTCAACAGAGTGAAGGGGAGAGAAGCCTGATTAGACCCAGCACCGGCCAGGCAACTCAAAATCAGCCGCCAATCTCTGGATCTGTATTTCCTTCAAAGTTTTTGCTTCATATCATTACCTTGGAGACGGCGAAAACTCCTTAAGCGTATACAATCTGCCAAACCCTGGCTAGCCTCCTCACGTCGATGGACCGGAAACGCCTCCATTTTGTTCATTAAAGACCTGCCCTCTATCGCTAAGGCGGCCCATTTTCGCCTCATTTCCACCCCATGAATGGCCAATGAAGGAGCAATTTTCTCCCCGCGTCCAACTCATGACGCCTGCTGACGCCGTGTTTGTCTTGGCGCTCTCGGAATTTCTCGTCCCGTCGCGCCCGACTCTCGTGTAGTTCTCGTGATTGACCACTTGAGAATTGCCAGATTTCAAGATGGCCGCGGGTTCCTGTTTGTCAACGGCTGTATCCGTATCGTGGTTTTCATTTCGCTTCTAATTATTCCCAATATCTTTCGCATTTCCTCTTTATCACTGTCGTTCAATGCTTCTTGCTTTCGGAAATGGATGAAAAACATCCCGGGTCATGTGATCCTAACGGCACACACGCTGTAGACCAGATTAAGACCCTAATGATGGCTGCGTGGCGTTCGTGATTACTTAACCAACATAAAAACGTCATTTTTTTTTTATTTAATCTGGATGTAAGAACAAAAAGCATAAGGAAAAAGTTAATAGAGTTGTAGGAATTTTTTTTATCCTAATTAATTAACAAAAAAATTAATTAGATGCCATGATTGCTAAGAGAAATGAGCAGAGAAAATTTTTCTTTAAAGTAATTCGTTTTTTGGGTGCGGATATTGGATCAGAAAATTTGTTTTAATTAAATTTATTTGCACATGTAAATTTTAAGTATGATAATTAAACGTTGAAAATTGCATACATTGAGTACAGTAATTTAAGCTACAGATAAATAGTATTTAGGTATTTATTTTGAGTTTTGTATATTAAAAATTTAAATTTTTAGAACATTATTTTCTTTTAGATGTGATTTGCAGTGTTAAAACGAGATTCTGTTTTGGTAAATCAAAATATGTGGGCCTAAGTATAGGGGTACATGCTGGTAAATTACACATCCATTTCTTGGTGGAATTATTTAAGTTACACGTCGGCTTACATTGTGGGTGAAAAGTGGTGGATTATACGTCTTGTTAAATTGTGGGTAGAGTTTGGTGGATTATACGTCTTGTCAAAATGTGGGTGGAACGTGGTGGATTACTCGTCTTCTTAAATTGTAGGTAGAACTTGATGGATTGCACGTCGGTTCGAATTATGGAACTAGGTGGATTGCAAATAGTCTCCAATTTGTTTGGGCTTACAAATTAGAGCTACGATGTCTTGTTAGATTCAAAAACTGTGAAACTCAAGTTGTAGCTAATTTATTGTCGACATAATGTTAATCGTGTTTGGGGAGAGTGGAAAGGGGTTGGGGTGGGGGGTGGGTGGGGGTTGGGGGGTCAGGGGTAGCTGACATCGCGTGCTGGACACAATATCTTGTACATCCAACACCCGGAGGCTGGGGGGGGGGGGGAGATATCGGAAACAGCGCTCGTGAGTGATGAGGTGGCAGGGAGGGGGAAAGGTGGGGGGGGCGGCCATCGG